ATAATGTGCTTAAGTCCCATTTTGGCTTTTGGAAATGAATCCTTGGAGATTAAAGAAAATCCAGTGCCTTGGATAAGATTTATGCTAGTTATTGGACCTTATGGTCCCATAAAGTTTGTATATTGATCATAAATCAACCATACATTACTTTTCTAGGTAATCCGCTCCCTTTTTGCATTAGGGTTTTAGATCTAGGATTCTAGAGGTTAGAGAAGGGATAAAGTTGGAAACCTTATCCATGCATGGCCTTAATCGATACAAATTTTTTATTTGGAGCTCTGAAAATAAGGATTAAGAGCTTAATGATTTAATGAGATTAAATCTCTAATGATTGATAGATTCAAACAGGCAAATAAATTAAGAACACAAAATGAATATCAAATATGTCGTATGATTAAATATCACAACCTTAGAAGAGCTCGATTAAGAACTTCTATTGTATAGGCGTGTAGGGTTTATAATATGATTAGACCATTAACAAGATATTGTGCATGCATGCACCTTAAATAGCCGAACCCTAATAATAAATAAGGGGTGGAAGGCCCAACCCGGATACAAAATAGACTAAACAAAAAGGCCCACAATGACACAACATTAAATACCCAACAATCTCTCCATTTGCGTCAATTGGGATGGAGATATTCATTTTCGAGTTCGCTTTTACACTTCATAAAGTTTTGGAACTGTGTAGAACTTCGCAAACCTAGATATACCACAGAATCATAACATAAAAGCACTACTTATATACTTTGTTGTTACCTTTGACTTTGTCTATGAAGTCCAAAATATATTGCAGGCATGATGTGGTGTAAAGATATTTATTTGCGAGGAAGAAACAAACTTTGTGAAAGTCTGCATTTGTTCGCTCTTTCATTTGAAACGCCATGCACCAACCATCCTTTCGTATCTTCCCAAGCTTCATTTTATCAAAACATTATGGACCTTCTTTGGGGAGTGCAGACGGTTTCTTTCGCAGTATAGTGACAATTTCGACATCTAGTTTGCCAACCCCTTGAATATATGCGATTAACATCTATTTAAGATGAGAAACTATAGCTTCATACTACTGTTCATCCCTCAGTCACATGTTGAACAGTATAATCCAATCATACATGTTCAGATAGGGTAGATCAGCAAGAGAAAATTTGTATATCTGACTCGTAGAACCTCTAGCAACCTTAAAGCGAGCGTTCGGGAAGCTATTGGTTTCAATTAGACCATAAACCTTTACAATAGTTATCTTCTTTACACTCCGGGTTTCGTACTTCAGCTTCATGTGCTTCAGGTAGAATGAGAAGAGTAAGTGATCTGCACCGTTGTCTGTGGGAGGGACATTCACAACTTTAACAAAGCTACAAAACTTGAAGGCTTTCAGAGTGATTGGAAGATCCAGTTGTGAAACTTGTGTGTTTTGTAAATCAAAAGACACAAATGGTTCTAACCAATATGGTTTGGAAGATCTACAACCTAGCTCAGTATACGCTCCAAAGTCCACTCTGGAAACAAAAGATTTTAGCTTTCCAATGTGACTTGAGCTTCACACTCAACCCTTTCTTTTTCCTCTGCTTCTCACACAATCTGATTGTGTTCGTCGTTTTGAGCTTCACGGGCCTTACTTCTTTTAGGTTCGTGCTCATCAGGGTCTTCTTCTTCACTGTCATCAATGATTGGTTCTTCATTGAGCTTTTCCTTTCCTTTTGGTTTGTTTTCTTTCTTCGACTTGACAGTTGGTTTGGGGTTTTCCTTCTTAGATTGCTTCACATTTTCTCCCCCTTGTTTCACAATTGAGCTTGATTCCGAAACACCTAATCTATTGAGCATTGTAAACACTGACCTTATTTTTTCAACCAGATGCTTCTTAACTATGATCGTGATCAGAGCATAATGAGTTTTAATGATGCCTGAAAGCAAAGCATTCACGCCTGTAACACAACTTTTCATAAATGCCTTTTCGGATAGGAGTTTGTTGATTTTCTTCTCTGCATGCTCAAGCTTGATAGTTAGGACTTTCACTTTTTCAGTCTTTACTGCGAGAGCATCCATTATTTTGCTCTCTGTGGCCAAGTCATCTTGAAGATTTTTGATTTTTGATGTGATGGTGGAGTTGATCTCGGAGTAGACTGTTTTGATGCTAGTACAAACCTTCTCCAGAGCCTCCTTCTCTGTTTTAAGGGATGTACTCATACTAGAGATGGCTTCATTTGCTTTTGCAGTGTTCGATTTGAATGATGTCTGGAATGTGATCATGAAGGTTCTAGCATCAATAATTAGCTTATCGACTTTTTTGGTCATTTCCTTGCAAACAAAAGCTGAATCATCAACAACTTTATTCGTCTTCTCAAGATTGGCGGAGTGTTCTTTGGTGAGGGTCTCAAGGAAGGACTTAATTATATCTTGAGAATACTCCTTGATATTTGAGATTTTGGTGGATTGAAGCAACAAATCCAACTTCTCATTAATGGCCTTGAGTTGCCTTTTGGTGACTGGAGTATCATCATCATTTTCAGTCCGAATGTTGAAAAGACTGTAGGTGAATCCTCCAAAATATTCGTCATCACCACCATAGATGGTATCTGGATCATCTTGGTGTAAAGGTGAGATAGGTGGAGTAGAATGACTAACTGAGAAACCTAAAGTGCCTGCCCCTGCATCAGATGCATTGATAGAAACTGGAGGTTCATCAGTGGTAGTGGTTGTAGTGGCAGCCGGATCTGTAAACAATGGGGTTGATTGGGTGAAACTTGATTGGGTCTGCGAAACCACCATTGATACAGGTGGGCAAGGGGCGATGGTGATTAGGGTAGAAATAGTAGATGTAGGTGAAGGAACAAAAAAAATCTTGGAAAAATTCATTTGTGATTGGAATGGAGGTAGGAATCTCAAAAGTTACCTCAAGGTTCGTTGTTGCAAGCTCCAAAACATTTGGTTGAGATATTGCAACAGTATCATCTTTGTTGTGCGTACCCCTAGCACTGGAACCTCCGAAACTATGTTCGATTGTGAATCTTTGCGGTCGCTCGGTGTTGGAGTTTGTAGCCTATGAGTGGCTTTCTTTACCTTCTTCTATAACTTCCCATAAATTTCAACAAACTTTAAACTTTTCAAAATGATCCTTTTAGTAATAAAATGTTTAAAAAAATAGTGTTCTCAACCATTATTTGAAAATCAGAGTTTCCCAAGATCCAATCAGTTGTAAAATCAATGATTTGTACGGTCACTTGCCACTCTGATCATCTAAAAAGCTAGAAACCATAAACAAAACTGTAAGCATAAAGCTTAGTGAGTTTCCCCCAAACTACCACCATACAAAACAAAGCATAAAAGCAAACACTCACGCCTGGACCAATCAACCTCGGGCTGGAATACCAATATGTCAGGTTCAATTAACCATCAGGTTGGAAGACCCAAGATTTGTTGGCCTACCACCTCAACCCTACCGCTCTTCCCGAGCATCCGTGCCTACAGCTTACAGCCAGTTCGCACCGGGTATCATGGCCTACCATAAAAAACAGGTCCGCATCAATCCAACCAAACACAATATGTCAACATATAAACAATCATGATCAAGTAGGCACATAATACTGGCAACAAAAAATCATCAAACTCAATACTGCCTACTAGTATCTAACCACATATAGTCCCACTACCAGCTAACCCCCATAGAATGCGTAACCATAAGTAGCCAGAGGTGAGATAGCCACCCGAATCGATTGTCCTACTCTAGAGCCATAACCAAACAAGGAACATGAAAAAGAGCCTAGACCAAGAGTTTTCAGGCTATCCTACATAACCAACAACAGTCCCTAAGGGCACTCCATAGATGATAAACAACAAGCACAAATAATATACAATTCTACAAGTTATTACCACAAAGAAACAAACCCCATACCACGAGACAGATCTAACTAGTCATTACAACATATCAGCATACTGAATACCAAAACACGAAGCTAGCAGATCACTACAATATAACATCATACTCAATACCAAAACACAGATCAAATAGATCACTACAGCATAACAACATACTAAATATCAAAATCCAAGGAATGCATAACCCTATAGACTCAGATGTGAGATTGTCACCCGGACAGGTGATCCTACTCTAAAACCACAACCAAAAAAAGGAACAGGTAAGAGAGCCTAAATTAAGAGTCCTCGGTCTATCCTACATGACTATATACAGTCCCTATGGCATCCCGCTACTAGCAGATAATCAATACTAGTGGACCGGTATTACAGTGAGGCGAAACTCACCTCGATGTGCATGTAGAAACCACTATAGCAAAGAAGGACTCTACCAACTTCAACTCATTTCCAATCACCTACAGGAAGATACTTGAGTCAATACTCGATCACAGGTCATAGTCACACGCAACAATAACCACTTCACGTGAAATAACGATCAGGGTTTTGCATGAAATTACGATTAAGGTTTCACATGAAATGAAGATTAGGGTTAAGTAAGAAAACTTAACCCATTAAGGACTTAATCACTTAAGGGTATGATTGATTAATGTTTGAATTAGTTGCTTTCGGTTGAAATACTAATCAATTCAGCAGCCCAAATATGCGCCCGATCATTGCCCAAGGTAAAGCTCCTCGATTTTAGGATTTTTACATAAAATGATAACTAGGGTTAGTGTTCCTCGCTTAACCCATTAAGGACTTAATCCATTAAGTCCTATATTGCATCCAGTTAATTGTGGTGAATTATTAAATATTAATTTAGTTTTAATTATTAGTAGTTTTAAGGCGAGTCCTGAACAACTCCAAATATAGGGTTTTCTATTTAAATAAATAAATATGTAATTAATAAATTGGGCACCACCCACTGCCACCTCAGGCAGTGGTGGTCGATGGTGGTCAATGGCAGTAGGAGGCGGCAGCCACCCGTACACGGCGAAAGTTTGAATAATAATTCCAACAATCCAAAACACATACAATTCATTACAACATGCACACACACTAGCACCAAAAGAATAAGAAAAGGCCCAACACAACCACCAAAAACGGTGGCCGACGGTGATAGGAGGTGGCAGCCACCACCTCACGATAGTGGTGGTGGTTTTTCTTTAGTTTCCAGTCAAGAAACACCCAAAACATCATTTCCCACACACAAAACCACCACTCACGGTGGCTGGTGGTTTAAGAAAGGGCAGTACGATCGGCAACCACCATGGTTGGCTGCCATGGTGGTCTTAAACTCGATTTTCGGACTGATCAAGGCACAAACACACCTTACAACACCCACAACACCTAATAATGCCACACAATCGGCTGAAGCTAATACACACATATATATGACATCCACTGAAACACATACATACACACATGAAAACCCATACAACATAGCCACCTCATGGTGGCAGGCAGTGGTCGGACGAGCTTAGCGTTTCAAAGGAATTGAGAAGAGAGGGAGAAGAATTGCAGAAGTAATGCACACACACGTGAAACATAAACACCACACAGCCACCCACTCACGGTGGTGTGTGGTTGACAAAAGTAGATTGGCGATGGGACAGCCGTCGGAGCGGCGACATTGATTGGTGCGAAGTAGCGACGATAGAAATGAAGAGAAGCGATGGAAGGTTTGCGCCATTATCGGAGAAGGATATGCAATAGCAGGTCAGTCTTCGCTATTGCCGACAACAATAGCGTACGGGGGGATGGATCCTAGTTTTTGGCTTCATCGGCAACGGATGTAGCAATGGCTTGGTAGTTCACGGTAGAAATACGGTGGCTGGGGGAGAGGGGAAGATAAGATGATGGTTGTATATGATGTAGGGTTCGGGTTTGGAAGTTGCTGCGCTCATAAATAAGATGGGTAAGGAACAGGGTTCAAGTCCTAATATTTACTAACCAACCCTTACCTCACAAATTTGTTTACATTTTAAGTCCTAATATTACTAAATAGACCCCAAATTCGGGAAATTATGACATTTAACTCCCATGGCTAACACTGATCAACTATTACGAATTTTGGTTAAAATAAAATAAAAAATATATAAATTTCATCTTGGGGTTTTAGGGTTTATTATTTATTTATTTATTTATCTTATTTGTATATTTACTAATTTTATTTTATTTGTCTTATTTAATTTATTTTATTTTAAACGGAATGTTATAATTCTCCCCCACTTAAATTAAATTTTGTCCTCGAAATCAGCTCTCGTTTCTACTTCAAGATGCACTCCCTCACAACAACCAAGATAAGGTATTCACTGCAATGAAACTACCTGGTCTTATATTGAACTGAACCACACTCTTTCTCTGCTCCGACAGCCCAGCTGAGCTATGCACTAACAACATTGGGGTTCCTCTTGATCTGGCGATAACATAAAAGCAAACCCCCGACCTGAGCTCCTAACACCTTAGGGCCTAATCACTATCATGCCCTAGAGATGCTATCACAACTAAGACAAATATGAATCGAAGGGAATCCGATAGCTAACAGTGATCTTATCGCAAACCCGAAGATTTAGTAGTTACGCAAAAATCTAGAACCTAGGGAAATCCGAAAGAGAACCGAATCTTGGCTAAGAGTCTTTGTGATATGTGTATTTTTATATATATTTTTATGCACTTTATCTTAATATTTTAGCCTTATTTATTTTATTTTAGAACTAAAAAGTACTCATAATGCTTTGAATTATGTTTTGCAGCTATTCGTTGTCGATAAAGCACAAAAGAAAAGACTGAAGCGGAAACCGGACTTCAAAGCTTAAAGGAATGAAATTTGTGAATCAGAGGATTACGCCCCGCGTACCTTAAGGGTACGCCCCGCATAAAGACTTGCATCAGATAACTTCAACCGCATAGTTATCTTGAGTACGCGCCGCGTAAACCTAAGTACGCCTAGCGTACTTAGGTCGGCTACAAGGACTATAAGTGTCGATTTTTAGCTAACCAGGAGAGGGATTCGACTTCTAACCTAATTTAGTCGACAATTAACTTCTGTTAAGCCGTTTTGAGGGTCTAGAAGGCAGCCGGAAGGCCGTTAAGCTAACGGGAGCAAAGATCTGAAGGATTGGAGAGCGGATACATATCGATAATCATATGGATTGCTAACGTGACCATGTTTAGCACTCCATTATGGTACTTTTTGTATTTAGTTTCTGATTTGGGTGTAAAAACCTTTTACTTTGTGTTTACAATTGAATGAAGCTTTGATTCTTAGACTAATTGTTATATTAAATAATTTATTTGTGTTTAATTTATCTTGCCAAGCTTGTTCAAAGATCCTCATGTGTTAATGATGATTATTTTCTGTTAATTGTTAAGTGAATTAAGTTGTACGAACATCTGCTTGATTTGCTTATCTCTTATGATTTTTGATGACCATCGAGATTATAAGACTAGAAATAACGAATGTGAAACTAGGATTAACTTGGGAATAAGTAAGTTAATGTGTGAGCCTTGTTTGATGAGCATCAACAAGAGGTTAATTAAATGTTTAAATTAACTATATTTACAAGTCTTGCTTGATACGAACTGAACACTAGGAAGCATGTTAGTTTAATCAATTGATCACTGTTTGAATTGACTTGTTTGCTAAAGGATTAGTTATAGTGAACACGAATCTAATCATTTTAGGAATCGGTGAACATGAATAAATGAATTTGTGTATGCAATTGTTTATGTTTTCAAGGTGGAATTTGTCTAAACCAAAGTACCTGAAGAGATTTGTTTTCCTGTTAGTTTATCAAGGATGGTTAATTAATTATTAGTTTGAGATGTATTAAATTATTTCTTTTATTCTTTTCGTGTGACCTATAATCAAATATATTAAATTAATCCACCGTTCCCTGTGATCGACACCCGACTTACCTAAGCTATACTGTAATCTGACT